CAGACTGTGACATTCCCATTATGTCATTATAATAATTCAAAAAACAATGACAATGTATTCTAATGACTTACATGTATTACAAAGGCGTGGTGCACCTCCAGTCCTTGAATGTAAGGATGTAGGGGCAAGGAACCTCGTCTTCATCATTGTGCAAATCTGAAGTTCATATTAACCCACAGGTTTTGTTTTCTAGGAAATAATAATGTGGATGTGGTGGTGGAGCCAGGACTTAAACAGACTTAATATATATATATATATACAACCACACTGATTTCATTTCCTAACACAGGTTTACAGGCCAAAGCGGAGCTACTCCAGAGAAGAATTTCTGATGTCTGAAAAATAATGTCACTAACATTTTATTCTCTTATTTCTGATGAGTTGACACATGGGAGGGACCATGTATGAGGGACTATATTTATATAAAACATGTGTTCTGACTGTATTTGATGTATTTTAACAAAAAAAAGCTTTGATTTTGCCACATCATTTGATTTCCATGCCACCCTAAGAAAGTTTCTCTACCACCGCTATCCACCACTGGTGAGTGAATGAGAGAGAGGGTGAGGCCTGGGGGCAGACAGAGATGGAACCAGGACAACAGCGCCATCTGCAGGCCCCGGGGGTACCGAACACCTGAGGCCACACATCTTGGTGACATCTGTGCATCTACCCCAGCATGAGAAGTAAGGAGGCCCTAGATGGGGTGCCAAGAGCCAAAGGGTGACAGTCCCACTAGTGACACACAGAAAGACAAAGACACATGTGCACACAGCCTTCCCGCACCATCACTGAACCACCGCCAAACCGGTCATACTAAATGTTATTACAGGCAGCATAATGTTTACCACAGCTTCTCCAGACCCTTTCACGTCTGTCACTTGTTCTCAGGGTGAACCTGCTCTCATCAGTGGTGGACTTGCCAATTCCTAGTATTCTATGGGAAATGCCAGTTGGGCTCCAAAGACCTTCTATGTCCCTGTCCAGCTTTTTCTTGTGTAATTGTCTCTTGGAATTTCCTCTGTAGTTTTCATTTTGGTTCTGATTTGGAGGTTGTCTCATTGTTGCACCTGTAAAGTCCACCAGCTACTTCAGTGAGCAGATCAATATCCCAGATGTTTCACTGATTTGATGCTATTCTACGGTGGCCCTGAGAGGCCAAATGGACTGCAACTTAAGAAAACACCAGCATTAAGAAAAACATTGCAAAAGCACACAAAACACAACAGAAATAGGAAAAAAATCTGATTTCCAAAAGCACAAGGGATGTGTTTCGGGGGAGAATATAACCCGACAGACCAGTTGCAGGAACCAAAATATGCTGAGAATTGCGCTGGGAGACGCTTAAAAGTGGAGGACCTATTGGTTTTGTGAAGAAAGAAAAGAGGAGAGGTAAGTGTGTTAGACTAACTATTAGCCTAAAAATCCGTCATCAGTATTATATGAATCATGATGAAACACGCCTACCATGTTTTGGGTTCCTGCAACTGGTCCGTCGGGTTATTGTCTCCCTGGAAACACTTCCCTTGTTTTTTCCTATTTCTGTTTTTGTTTATCCTATTTGTGTCTTCGTTTTTCCTATTTCCGTTTTGTTTTGTGTGCTTTTTCAATGTTTTTCTTATTGCTGGTGTTTTCTGAAGCTGCAGTCTGTTTGGCCTCTCAGGGCCACTGTACCATTCTGATTTAAAAGGAGAACCAAATTGTCCAAGCAGTTTGTCACCATTATCAAGTGAAATTATATTTTATTACTCTGTTACTTGCCATTAA